TTTATACAGAGTAATGCTATGTATTTGTATACCACTAGTTCTCACTGGCCAGTTAATAATCTGACGTGTTATGATGAGGTGGCAATGCCACCTCATCTGTTCGTCAGTTATTTACCACGTTAGATAAGTCCCAAAAAAAAAAATTAATTAATTTAAAATCCCATTTTAGCAAACGAAATTTTGCCTTCCTTAATCCCAAATTTCAAAACCTAAATTTTGAGTTCTCTCCCAAATAATATCCATCCCTAAACCCAAATTACAAACCCCAAATTTTGAATTCTCTTCCACATGCTTACTACCCAATCTGTAAAACCGTTCATAGCAAATCTCTGACATTTAGATGAAAATATTTTATTTCTCATTGCCTTAACTGCACCCCTTTTTCTCTTTCATTCCCCCTTGGAGTTACTGAATCGAATCAGAAATTGATTTTTGTAATTGGGCAATATGAGTTCAGAATCACAATTATAATGACAATTGTCATCTCCTCCTCCTCGGCGACGGTTATCGTGCATAAATTGTTTCGACGCTTTTGGGTTCTGCTGTTCACCTGTTGATCAGACGCTACTCTTGTAGACTTTTTAAATCTCAAAACCAAAACCTCTTCTTGCGTTGAGGTAATCAATTATTCTCCTTTTCCATCCCCATTTTCATTTACTTTAAATAATTTCTACATACTTTTGATGGCCCTGGTTCATCTTCTATCTATTAAGCTATTTACTTTGCATTTGTTTTTGGGATCCATTCTTCTTTTACTCTATTCTTATCGCATTGCTTGTTTTAAGTTATATTCAATCTCCAAGGAAAACAACTTACTTCCAAATCAATATACTTTTTGGACTTTAATTTTTTCACTACCAATTCACATGGTATCTTGCTTGTAATTTATTTTCTTCAATTTTCAACTTGAGCATCCATTAGTTTTCTTTTCTTTTCTTTTGGGTGTTCCTCGTAGGATCTAAAGTTGTAACAATTTTTGAAATCCATCTTTATTGGTGTATTATTGTGAGTAAAAGATTTTGCATTTTCAGTCTTCTGTTGGTGGATTATGTATCTTTACTTTGTTGATGAACTGTGGTGTTTGAGGGATTGTGTATTAATTATTACAAACCTCTTCAGGATGGGAAAATTGTGAGGTTCAATCCTTCCTGGATAAAATGCTGCTATTATTCATGTTTTTCACATGGTGTTTGCGTGAACAAAAAATTATCTTCAAATCAAGCTGCTTTAGTTCCATTTTACCATTAACAAATATCTTTGACTCAAATGATGACTTTTGGTCATGTATTTGGCTACCTTTCTTTTTTGGCTGTGCCCTCCAAGTAACAAAAACAGAACATTTGGTTGCAGGAAATTCTGGAAGCTCTTGAGAAGGAGAAGCCCCACATGTGTACATTTCGGATGCCAAAAGAAGCCACATCTAATTGGAAAAGGCTGTTTGGACATTTAGATGAAATAAAATGAATGAATGATGAAATTCTGGATGCTTGTTAGCTTCTAACCTATCCTCTTTGTGAGAGTGCCGTCTTGAACTGAAATCTCCTCAGTAAACAAGTGGAGCCGCTGGTTTGAAGATGAATTGCAAGTCTAGGCAAAAACTGTTGTTGTTATTCAGTGTTAATCAATTTGATTGTATTTGAAACTACCACAATTAGTTTGATTACTTCTTGCTGACACCTAAGTGGTTCATTTCTATGTTGGCCTGAGGAAATGGCATAGGCTGATAAGAAGTAATTAATAATTATCTATTTGGTTTGGCTTTAAAACTTGATTCCTTGAACGTTTCTGACAGATTATGAATGGGCCGTTGGATCAACATACATATTCTGATAATGCTCTGGCCTTGAGTATAACGATATGGATGGCTGACTATTTTGGCCATCGTGCACATAATGTTATGAGAAAATATGGTTCTGAAGGCCACTATCAAACGCTTAAAATTATTGTCAGCCCTCCCGAAAATTAATTTATGGTTCTGCCCCTAGCTCCACCTATAGAAGAGTAGTTCATTCTTACTCAATGAAGAACAAACTGATCCTACGGCTTCTGAGTTATCATTTTGTGTTTGTTTGTGTAAATCTGATGGTTCAAACGAAAGATTTTTATGTTATTTGTTTAATCAAATTAGATAAAATTTAAGATCATTGGTTCAAGAATATTACAAAAGAGACAACGATTTGAAACGTGTCACCAAAGAGATCTCTCATATGTCGAGGCCTCTAAATTTCTCTTTTTAAAGAAAAAAGAAAAAAAATTGATTTCTTGAATTTCAAGAAATAATAGGTAATATTTTCTAGTCAAATAATACAATGTCACATGTATATTCATTTTAAGTATCTATTTCAATTTAGCTCCTTGTAGTTTTTGGTAATGGTAAACAATACGTATTGCTCTTAAGCTCCACTCATATTTTAATTTTTAACCATGTTTGGTTTTTGTATTATTTTATGTTTAATATATAACTCAATCTAAACTCTCGTTAATTATCAAACCAATAGTAAATAAAATATCAATATTTCATATTCGCATGTCAACAAATATAAACTCCATTTACGAAAAACAATTCACTGGATTAATGATTTTATTTTTTTTTATTTGTTTAACTTCAACTAAATAAAAATATATAATTTATCCAAAATTGTTAAGTCTATGTGTATTTTATTTAAATTGTCACATAATACTTTACACTATTTTGTATTCTTCTTAAATTTTTACAATTTTATTTAATGATAAGGTTTTGCTTTCGATTCTCTTTTAATTTGTATTTATATTTCCTCAACATAAATAGTGTTGAATATTATAACACTCAAAAGAAAATATTCACAATCTATCAAAAGCATAATTTTACTGTAGAACCCATGTCAACCACCATGGAAACCATTATCAAAAGGCTAAACGACATATTCTCACCCAAGGTTTAACGAAATCCCAAGTTAACACCCCTGGTTTCATCCCGCCACCCTCATCAAAACCCCATCACCCCCTAGCCGCACTCACCTTTCAACGCCGATTTAAGCCCCCCCTCCCTAGGGTTTTTATTTTGTTTTTTGCTTTTGCTTTTGTATATTGTTTTATTTTTTTTATTTTTTTATTGACATTGTGTGATTTTTTGTGGTTGCTATCGGGTTTGGCCGACTGTGGTGGTGGTTTGGCCAGTTGTGATGGTGCTTTGGGATGGGATGGTTTGGTATGGGCTATGATGGTGGTTTTGTTGGCTGAAAGGGGGTGAAGGGCAGTTTGGTAATAGCATCCATTAGAATCCAACAGTCACTAATTGTGTTAATTTAAGGGTGGTTATTTGGAATAAATGAAACCAGAGGTATTAACATAGGAATTCGCGGTGAGAATATGTCGTTTACTCTTATAACAAAACCCAAATCTGATTATCAAATCTTTCCCAAGCAACCAACCATTGGCAATCTTCTATCTTCACAATAACCAAACTACAAAACAAGCTCCATTACCCAAAAAAAAAAAAAAAAAAAATGATTATTAGGATTTTATGATTTATTGTTTTAGTAGTATTAGGATTTCTTATTTTATTTTAACTACTTTTTCTAGTAGAATTATGATTAGCCTACTATAAATAAATGGGGTTGTTATATTTCTCAGTTATTCATATTTATCATCAATAAAATTTATAAAGTTTTCATTGAATAATATTTTCAGCTATGACAAATATTGCAGGCACGTTGGTGGAAAGAGATAATAATAGAAGATCCAATGAGGCAAGAAGGGTCCGCTATAAGAGATCATCATCATGGGCTGATCTTCCGCAAGAACTTCTTGAGATTGTTTCTAAGAGTCTGAATATAGTAGACTATCGAAACCTTGGTCGCGTTTGCAGAAGCTGGAGATTGTTTTATTCAGAATTTAAGCAGAGTTTTTTGACATCTCATTCACCACTTGTTGTTCATGCATCAGGCCGGGTTAACAAGTATTGTTATTTCTTTGACCTAGCTACGGGAATGGAATACAAGAGAAAGCTGCCTCGATATATTTGGGACTTCAAGTTCTGTCTTGTTGTTTAAAGTGGGTACTTAATCTTGTTCTGTCTCAAGGCAGAAGATGTTTCAAGAGGTTGCTTATGGGTTATAAATCCTTTTACAGGACATCAAATCCAATTCCCTTGCATGCCCCGGCCTCCTTGTAGTTGTATTATGGATTATGATTGTGATGACCGTGGCATCTTTGCTTCTCAAGGTCAAGATTTTCTTATTATGATTCTTTCTGAGTATGGCTCAAGCTTGCAGTTATGTACTTGTAGAGATAAAAAGTGGAAAGAATACCATTATGATAACAAGGGTTGGCATATATTGGATATAATTGTTTTTGATGGTAGGATATATGTTCTAAACAGTGATTCTCAGATTGGGATATTCGACCTGAGATGTTGTGACTTGAGGTTTTTGGAACTGAAATTTGCACCTCATATCGGCCTTTTTTTTTTGATAAGCAGGTTAGGTTGGCGGCTTCAAATGATCAGTTATTTGTAGTTGATTCTCCTGAACTTTACAGAATAGACTTGTCAAGGATGGAATGGGTGAAGCTGTATGATTTAGGTGATCAAGCTTTGTTCCGTGGCAAAGATGGCAAGGTGTGTTCCAAGGTAATTAACCCATCAAAGTGGGGAGGACAAAGCAACTGCGCATATAGTATCTCAATCTCCACAAGTGTTTTATACCCACGACAAACTATTACCACTGAATCGCCAGAGCAAGGGTTTGATTGTGTCAAAATATGTTCTTTGTATCTTCTACACCAGCTTGAGAGTGTAAGGGATGACTAGTGCTGTGCTGTGGTTTTCTAAGCTTAGACAAGGTCAAGGTCGGAGTTTCTTCTAACTCTTTTACAATTGTTACTTGTCTTTGCAATTAACATTATAATCTGCATTGAAAATTTCAAAAGTAAAGAATAAAGATTACAAATGAATAACTAAAGATTGCATTTACAATTCTTCTTATTTTTTTCCTTTTTACAACCACCAAAAAAATTTCCTATATTCTTTTTATACAAAACTATTAAAGAAACACATCTTGAATTTAACCAAAATAGTCGTTGACTAGTTAATATGATGACAAAATAACTTACCCACGCCAAATGGTTCTAGTGCTTCTCCGGTACCTGAAATATTTGCAGATGGCAGATCATAACAGATTAATCTTATATACGTATGAGTAATATTAAAATCATAATATTAAGTTCAAAGATCCAAACCAATCACAGCATACACCGTTCCAGTTTCCTTTCTTAATTCTATTCTGTTAGGTTAGTTTTAAGTCATTTGCACTAAGTCGAACTACTTCAAGTTCAAAAATTGAAAAATACTTACAATCATTCCAGCATGTGCACAAAGATAGAAATCGTTATTCTTCGGATGACAGACTCTGTTGTCTAGAACAGTTCCTGCAGAGGCAGCAATAATTGACTAATTGTTACACCAAATGCTGTAAAAGAGTTCCAGTGTGAAGAGTTTATAAAGGCATACCAGGTGGAACATTATCAGGAGATCCAGATTGAAAGAACTTAGTATGGTGATTTTTCTGTGCAACAATCACCACAAACTTGAGGCACCATTTCTCACCCAAAAACTTGCATGCCTGGAATTATTAGTCTTTTCAGTTCCAAGGAGATTACCGATAAGGTTTAAAACTTGTAAAACATATATTTTAAAGGCACTGGGTTTAAACCTCTATGCTGGGATCAAGTTCAATGTTCAAGACTTGATTGAACTGTGACTCACTGACACCGTCCCTGAATTCAACACAATATTAGACAAAAAACTAGCACAATAGACATCTGAAATTTATAAAGCAGATTTTGTTGCATAATATAAATGCAGTAGCACACACCAGAAAAAAAATTAGTGGTTACATCATAATACATAATCAAACTGGAACAAGTGTTTGAAGCATAGCCAAAATAGATGCATCATACAAGTCCCAATAGTTAAAAGGAAAATGGACAAAAAAATCAGGTTACTAGGACAAATTCTGAGTGCCAAATAATTTTCTTTAAGAAGCAGGAAAAACCAAGCAAGACTACCAACATCCATCAACGGTCAGAAAAGAAAGCCTCAAGCTGAAAAAACTGTTCGGCTGGGTAATGCAGATTCAAACTCGAACAAATGTTTGTACCATAGCTAATATAGAAGAACATCACAAGTCATGAACAAAAAATTAAAAGCTGGGGAAATGGAAGGATATTTGAGCATGATGAATGCAAATTGGTAGAAGGAAGACCAAGGCAAAATCAGGTAATTAATCAAGTGTCAAAAAGTCTCTGTTCCCTTAGAGTTTGATTATCTCTTATTTATCAAAGTGATGGCATGGTGATAGTGGTAGGTTTCTGAATAACTAACCCAATTGCTGCCTAAGTGTCTATTTTACTATACTGGAAAATATTTGTCAAGGTCATGAATGACTTAATTTAATGCTATTGACTCTTCTTGCTCTTTGATAACACACGTCTTAGGGAAATTTGTGATCCTTTTTTTATTTTTTTACTAAAGTTAAAGCTGTTTAATATCCCACCTTCCCTCAATCAAAACGTTACCAATAACTTCCCTTCCCATCTATTTAATCTATTAACCACCACGGGCTGAAACTCTTAAGTTCGAGTCCTTACTGTTTGTTTTTTTTTTTGCCCTTTTACATGATCATTTTGTCCATTTTCCTTCTTGTTTCTAATTTTTATTGAGTATACCCAAATCATCTGCTTGTTATCAAGTTCATTGGCCGGCAAGAGTCAAATCAAATGATGTATATAATGATATTTAAAACGTAAAGACGAAGTTTCCATTCCATTTGTAAATAAGATAATTGTTTAAGAACTTCACCTCATCTAAAGTATAATTCCATGTTCCTCAACTGTGGTTTAAGTGGATTCATCTTCGCCTCACTTACATTTAATTATAACCTACCCAAAATTAAATGAGGATCAACATGTATCTATGATTATATATATATATATTACTAGAAAAATAGTCAATACTTTTTTTTTTTTTTTTTATGTACTTTATTGTCCTAGATTATTGGTTTTAGATATTTTGCATCTTTTAATTTTTGAAATGTTAAATTAAATTTCAACTACAATTTTTTTTTTTTTTTTTTTTCTGTTATAGTCTTAAGTGTCTATTTTAATAGTCCTTTATTGAAAGTCATCTTTATAACATAAGAAATATAAAATTAATTTGCAAATAAATATAATTATCATCATAAAGAAGGTCCTGCAATGACTCATGAGGCGTGTCCTTGTTGTTTGTTCAAAGTGGGGCGCCTCATTTGATTAGATCCGGTCCATTCCATATTTGAATCCTTCAATCAAAAACGGGATAATAACATTTTCCTCCCTTAAATTTTGATCATAATCGTCCCTAAGTTTTTGTTTAAGTAACATTTCATCCCTCATTGTCAGTGTCAGTGAGTTTTGCTAATGACACTATTTGACACAGTGACAGGACCTAAAGAAGCTTATTTAAAAAATTATACCTGGACTAAATTTATTCAGATCAAACATTAGATGAAATTGATTTTCCTTCGAATAATAGCAAAACCAAAATAATTAATTAAATTAAAAAAAATTACCAAGTCCATTTCCCTCTAAAGCAACTTTCTTAGGGTTTCCAGTTTCAAAGTCTTTCTCACGCGATTGGCGATTTATACGTGCCTTTCCTCTCTTCAGCCTTGGTTCCTACTTCCCATTTTGTGCTTCTTCTTAGATCTTGATTTTTTGCAAGATTTTTCTCCATCTTTTTCTCAGGTACATACGTTATTTTAGATTCTCTTTTTATCTTACTTCAATCTTTGCTTTTAATTCTTTTGTTTTGATTCTGCTTCGTGTTTAGCGCTTACTTTGCTTGTACCCTATGTGGGTTGTGTTTGATTTTCTTTTCTTTTGTCTTGTTGTTTTGTTTACATGTGCTTTCTTGTTTATATCTAACGGTCAATTTCTCTTTCGCTAACTTGGGTTCTATCCAAACAAAACCCATGTTTTCTTTTTCTTGATTTGTCAATTTATGTTATTTCTGTCTTATTCTGATGTTTCAGGTACCCTTTATATCTATCTTAGTGGGTTTCTTTTTTTTTTTTTTTTTTTTTTTCCGTTGTTCAAATACTTAGTTGACTCTGGTAGGTTTGTTGTTTTGCCTCTTAATTTTCTTTCTTTGTTTCTGAGAAATTTGTAATTTTGCGTGTTTCTGTTGAAATGTTTTTGTAAGAAACACAACCCCAGTTAACTCAGTCAGATGATCATATTATGTTCATTTTTAGATTTTTTATATTTAATAGTTAACAATTAAGGATATGATCCCTTCTCTTCCTTTTTGTTATTTTTTCTTTGAAAATAATAAAGATTGAAGCCTATGATTTTGGTAATTTCTAAAGTGTTTCATTTTTTCTTTTGGATATGATTGATAATTTTGTTTGTGTTTGTCTTGTGATATATTCTGTGTTTCTTTTTCATAGAATTCCATGTTCTCTATCTTGTTATTATATAAAAGGGATAAAGAATTTGAATAAGAAGGCATCAATGCCAGTAAGTAACCTTTCATATTTCCTGGTTGTATTCCCATTGTATTCTGGATTCCTTTTTTTAAACTTTTAACCTTTTTTTCTTTGCCTTTCCCGCTCCAGGGTTATAATTTTAGACTTTCTTTTCTTTTCTTTCTCTGGTTTCTTTCTAAAATACTTTTTCTTATAGAAACTTCTTGTTCGGTATTATTTCCCGTTGATGTTGTTTTTCTTGTTGAATTTTCCAGGTTTTGTGTTTTTTATAGTCCTTAACAACCTGTGTTGATTGTAACTATTATGTCACATAGTAATATCTCACTGTAAATTCTTCTTGTTTTATCCAGGACATTAATTGATTACTTTACAGATCATTTAGGATCTACTTAAGAATGTTTGGCTTAAGAATCTCCCATAAGGGTTGGTAAGCATAATTCAGCTGATCCTGGATATCAGCTTCTTCTTGCTCCAACCCTTCAATTCTGACGATGAGTGGGACAATAGGCAGACTCTTAAACTCAAAAAGGACTTCTTCTGAACCCAACCTAACTATTCAAGTAGGGCACCCATCCTTTTGATGATGATGAGATAAAAGACCACTTTCTGGATCCTCATTTCACGTAATGCGGGCTGCTAGAAACGATACAAGAATGGATTTCCATGACTCAGGTGGATAGAGAACCAGTCAGTGCAAATTGTAGGCCTAGCTGTTTACAAGGCTGAGGAACCACAAAGTCGTGAACGCCTGCCTGAAGATTGCTGAAGAGATTAGAGAGGATGCTAACAAAAACTGCTCACCCTTGCATCATCAGGGTGAACAAATTACCAGGACCCACCACTGCTGCTGACATTGATCACGATCTTAGTCGGTATGATTCTTTTTAATGAAGTTAAACAAACTACAAGGGGTAAAAAACTCATGAAGGACATGCTCCCATTGATTTTTACCCTTGTATATGCAATTACTCTTTAATCCGGCCTTGGCTTTATGGTGTGTTAAAAAGCAATTAACAAAACGAAAAAATCTTGTTCTTTAGACCAAAATTTGAAACAATTCATTTACCGTTGCCTTATATTTTTTGTCCTAATTATGAATTAGTATCAGCAGTTATGCTTGTAGCTGATTGGCTAGCAGGTCCTGTATGTTACCTCATTATACTGATTTGCATGACCTGAGAAGAAGGGAATGAAGACTCTTAAGTTATGAACTTAAATTGCTGTTTAAACATTAGGACATGCCATTTGAGCTAATCATTTCTAGTTGTAATTTGTTTGGTCACCTACAAATACTTTTTTTCTTTTTTTCCTGGTTTTGAAATGTTGCACCATTACTTGCGGATTATATGCTGTTTTCTGGATGCTTGAATTTTGATCTTATAATTTAAAAAAAACAATTTATGATTGTTCAATGCTGATATCAGGTGAGAAGCTTTTGGAAGCCTCGGGGGCATGTTCTCTAGGACTTGGAAACCGAAGAAAACCCCCCCAATTATGGCTCTGTCATAACAAAGGTTTGTTTTTCTCTCCTACTCAGAGTCCCGTCTACTTATTATTTTATTTTTTTAAGAATAAATTGTAGTACATGGTTACTAGACCGAGGTCCTTTCAGGAATTCATTTGGTGTTCATTTCTCTTTATTTATTTGTTCTTTCATTTATCTTTTCCAGTGTACAGCATGTTATTTTGCTTAGTGTACAGATGATCCAGTCCAAAGAAGGGTAACCACTTGGATCAGGAGAGAGTTGGACTAAATCATGCATCCAGGGGACAGTTGCAGGCACAGCTCCTTTGCCTGACCCACAGATACTTATCAGAAAGTCGAGGTTTGTTTTGTTTTCATTATTGAAGCATTAGACCTCAGCATGAGATGAAATCATCCATTCCATTTACTGAAAAGATGCTTTCATCTTACAGTTTCCATTTTGCATTTGATTTATAACATTTTCACTCCAATCTCATCATCACTGTATTTTTTTGTATTTACTACAGGTGGAAAAGGTGAGCAGGATGATGCACTTTCTGATAAGCAATATATTGGGATTTGAAAGATATGCTGTTGATAT